CCCCCTTTCAACCACCCCAATTGATCGGCAGTCCTATGGCATACATGGAGTGTCTGGGAACTCTACATGCAGTTTGACAAGGTGTCTGCTTTCGATGGCCTCTAACCTAAGAGGGATGGCCTCCAACCTGCTTGTGTCCTCTCGGGTCCTCGATCCTCGTGTCCGCGTTTATACCTAGGTCACCACCGTCAAACGAGTGGCATTCAATCTCCGTACGCATTATCTCGAGTGTGTGTGGGGGGGTGAATGATAACGTTTGTTGAACTTGATTGGCAGCTTTCATTTGGTGGGCCTAGCGGCTTACAGAATGACAATAGGATGACGGTGTTGCTTGGGACCTAGCTTTGATTATATGTTCTTCTTGTGTTGACTGGTATCGGATTGGTGCTTGCGACATGTTGTCTTTCTTTTGTTTGGAACCCTTTTCAGATCTTCAGCTCCATGAATCCTTCAAACATCTCTGTTCAGTTCTCTGTTCAACATCGGCTATCAATGGAAAAGGGCTCCCTATCAATGGAAAAAATAGGTGGAGGTTGGAAAAATAGGGTCGGGGGGGTTGGAAAAATAGGTGACCCAATGGAAAACCCTGTTCTTCAACTGTTTGAAAAACCAATTCCCTCACCGATCGCTGAAGACTCATCGCCTCGCTAGCGAAAGCTGCCGACGTCGCTTGAAAGACCAGCGATCCTCGGATCACCCAAGCTGTCGATCGGTCGACGCCGAGCTCCACGCCGCAAGTGACCAGGACAGTTGGCAGCGCTTGCCCGTCGCAAGGCGCGCACAGCGTAAAAGCGCCGCGCCGCTATCACTTCTACCCTTGCTACAGCTCCAACACCAGCCATACCCCTCGCAGCCCCCACGAGGAACTACCGCCTTCTTCGAGCTGAACGACTCAAGCCAGTGGCGCTCGTCATGTTTTTATATTTTTTTCCGAAACGGATCACAACCGCCGCAGCTGATTTGAGACCAATCGGCACATGGGAGCACGGGAGAACGATGGAGAAAGACCGGTTATTTATCTTTAAAGGGGGTATTGAGATGGTGCATTGGATGAATTCCCGGTGGGCATGTTTTGACGTGTGAAGATCTATATACATAGATGAATTCACTGGGGACTGGGTATGAATGAAAGCTGAGTGTACCTGAACAAGGTGGCGAGAAAATCTTTGAGTTGGAATGGCACTTCCAGTGAAGGGACGCACATTCGACTCGCTATGAGGAGGGTCCTAAGGCCCTAAGCCAGTTTCAGTGAGAAACTCTGAATCTCCAAACTACGACTTTGAGCTGGCTTCAATATTTGCATGTCACAGTATCTTCTCTTGGGGGTTATCTGGGTGTGTTTCACTTTCATAGGGAAGCAACCGCAACCTGATGCCCAGCTGCACTCGTTGATAGCAGGTGTTGCCGAAGACGGAGGCCAGCGGCTTTTGACATGATCTGCGACATGTTTTTTCTCTTCAGGTCTAAGATAAGAAGCTATCGCCATTAGGTTGGAAGCCATCGCTATTGGTAGCAAGCACGCTACTAGTAGCTAAATGATAAGTAGACTTTGAAACGCTTTGGCGAGCATGTGACGATCCTTTTGAAACCGTGATCCCTCGGTTCTGGGTTTGCGCCACGATCCGTGGGCCGTCGCCGCACTTCGGGTGGTTGTGAACATCCACTTCGAACAGGCTTCTCTCTGTCTTGAACGGTCTTTCAAACAAACATGTCCATGCGATTTGACAATCGTTGGCCTCATAGTCATCCGCAATCATACTACCTAGCACATGCTTCCAAAATATATCGTTGCTTTGACTTGTACCTTGTTAGTTTTTGTTCGACCTCGGCTTCAGGTATTCTTGAAGTCTTCTTCAACATATGATTGAGTGATTCAAGTGTATGTTTCTTCGGAACTGGAACGTTCCCGGGTTGGACTTGACACCTGCCCATGGCAGGACATCCAAGGACCAGATCCAATGATAGCAGGGTGTTGACACACCCGAAGCCTTGAGTCTTTCCTTCGACTCCTCTCTCCCTTGTTGGTTCCTTTCCTTGTAGTGAAGATCATGACGAAGACCTCTACATACCACACAGTAACCACCCGTCTCCTACGTGTCCAGAATGTGGACACGACTTAAGTCCGTGCTTGCCAGGTGCAAGATGAGTGGGGGGCTTAAGAGCAAGCTTGTCGGTGCTTCCAAGGGAGCTGTTTGACCATCCGACCCCCAGCACCTTCAACTTCTCTATGAATATGTTCTGTTTCACTTTCACAGCTTACTTATTTTTTGCACTATCCATTCTTGTGGAAGCTAAAACCACTGACTGGTTTATACAGGAGGGATTCGATTGTGCTTCATCGTGTATCCGAGTTCATTCTTTCAGATCACCAGCCACATGCGTGGTCTGCGATGCTTCAACGGAGCGTTTTTTTCCGCTTTCAGGGAACTGTGGGTTCCCTTAGAAAGGCCGAGTTCCGCCAGGGCGCCGAACTCGGCCATTCTGGTGAGAGGAGAAACACTGAAGGAAGGAGAACTTGGGAGGATCCCCAAGCTTCTCACTTGCGACATGGATGCCATTTGCAGTTGTTCAGGTGCTTGGGGTACTTGCGGAGACCTGAACAGAATGTCGCAAACACCGGTTCTGGGGCTCAGGTCCAAACCGCGGAGTGTGGAGAACAACCCCTTCCGCAACTACAAGGCCGTTTGGTGCAGAAGGTGACGCCAATGTTCAGTTGGCCTTCTGCAAACCTCGAATCACCATATTGTTGTG